GAAATCCAGTATTTTTAGTAAATTTTATTTGTTGATAACAAATGGGACAAACTCACTGTCAAAACTAAACAAGAATCCAGCATTAAAGACATTGTAAGTAGACACTTATTTATACTGTTACGAACGTGCATTTAACGAGGCACGTATAACGGTTGCATCTCGAAACAGCACCTCATGCTTCCATGCGGCGCGGCGGCATCTCGAAAGCGACTCGATATTTCGAGAAAGATCTGTCGCGTTCGCCTAGAGGTGGGAACTTTCTAGAAAATAGTAACTTTAGTATATATATGTAACGATCTTAGGAATAAGTTTAGTTGATAAGATAGTATCGAACTGTAAAGTTATAAATAAATATATTTATATAAATTCGAACCGCTCGTTTTATTTAAAAACGGTACAGTTGGTGTCACCGTGTGAGGACAATTGATTTATTTAAAAATAAATTTAACAGTGAAAAAAAGAGACTTTTGAACTGTTGAAAAGTATTGTTCGTCGGGAACATCCGCGTAGTTCGGTAGTGATCGTTGTACGAAAGAACATTTTAAAAGTACGTGTGTGCCTGATCAAAGATGCTGCTAGTAGAACTTTCAGTGAAACAGTTGCGTGAGCAACTAGAAGAACGCGATGAAGACTGCAGCGGGTCCAAGAAGATACTCCAAGAACGACTAAAGACTGTTCTCCACAAGAATGGAGACGACCCAAATACATTCCAGTTCCAGTCAGCAGAAGAAGCCGTTTTAACTAAAATAATTGATGGAAAATTCGAGACTGTTTCCAAAAGATTCGATGAAACGTCACAAATGATTGAAGAATCTTCGAAAAAAAATGATGATAAATTCGAGAACGTTTCCAAAAGATTGGATGAAACGTCTCAAATTATTAAAGAAGTAGGTAGACAAAACGACGAGAAACTCGAAAAGGTGTCTAAAAGATTCGACGAGAAATTTGAAAATGTTTCTCAAATGATGGAAGAAACTTCTAAAAAGAATAATGAGAAATTTGAAGAAGTCTCTAAAACATTCGATCAGATGCAGAAAAATGTAAACAACGTAGAAGAGAAAATCAAACAATTAGAGATCATGATAACTAACACGAAAATGCTACCACCAATTAATACGGTAGCCTTAGAACCGGTAGTGAAAGAAGAATCACCTAGAGACGAAATGACACATCATATGAGATTCAAATTGCCACCATTTGACGGAAAGTCCTCTTGGTCCATATACCTTAGACAATTTGAAGCTATTGCGACAGCCAATCATTGGACAAAACAAGAAAAGGCTGTTTCCTTGACTGCTGCTTTACGAGGTGATGCTGCAGATATCCTAAGATCGATTCCTAAGGGTCAAGAAAAATGTTACCAGACCTTGTTTACTAGACTAGATAAACGTTACGGAGATGCCCATCTACAACAAGTCTACAAGGCGCAACTAAGAAGTAGAACTCAACGAGCAAGTGAGAATTTGCAAGAGTTTGAAGCAGATGTTGCTCGTATAGTGCGGTTGGCTTATCCGGAGGTACCAGACAACATTTTGGAAGAAATTGCCGTAGATACCTTCGTCAATGGGTTAAAAGAAAGTGAATTACAGAAAGCTTTACGACTAGCAAGACCGAAAGTTCTAGATGAAGCGCTCGCTATTGCCTTAGAACATGAAACAGCTAGTCAAACTTCACGGAGCCATCGAGTAAGAACCATTGAAGAAGGCGACGAACCAAACGATGAACGTCTAGCAGAAATGGTACGAAAAATAGTTCATAACACGATGCCGAAGAGACGCGAACCCAGATGTTGGAATGGTAACAACGAAGGTCACATTCGCCACAAAGTTCAAGAAAATAATACAACAGTCAGAAAGCTAGAACAGATCGAGCACGCTAGAAAAAGTCATTCAAATGCTGATGTTCAATCAAGACGGCCATACAGTGAAAATCGTAATCATTGTCTTGAATTAGAAGAATGATTTTGCCCCGTTAGACGAACCACCGTTATTAATGACCAATGGCAGCCTCAACAGCTACAAGACGCCCAAGCAGATGATCCATGTATAAAAAGAGTATTGGATTGGGTGCGTCGAAGTGAAAGACCTTCTTGGCAAGACATTAGTGCATGTAGTCCCGAAGTCGAGTGTTACTGGAGCCAATGGAATTGCCTAGTGCTGAAAGATGATCTTCTGTATAGAACCTTTGAGAACGATGATGGTACAGAAACTAAGCTTCAGTTGATTGTACCTAAAAGTAAAGTGTCCGAAGTATTGCGTCAGTTGCATGACGGTGCATCAGGTGGACACTTTGGTATTACGAAGACTCTGCAAAAGGTTCGAGAACGGTTCTATTGGGTGAACTGTAAAGATGATGTAAGAAGATGGTGCCGGAAATGTGAACTGTGTGCAACTAGTAATGGTCCAGTTGGTAACAAGAGGGCACCCATGAAACAGTACAATGTTGGTAGTCCTATGGAGAGAGTAGCAATCGACATTGCAGGTCCACTTCCAGAGACGAATGATGGAAATAAATATATCCTGGTAGCCATGGATTATTTTACGAAATGGACTGAGGCCTATGCGTTACCAAATCAAGAAGGTGCTACCGTTGCAGAGGTACTTGTTAAAGAATTCTTTAGCCGATTTGGTGTTCCCTTGGAGATCCACTCCGACCAAGGGCGAAACTTCGAGTCAAACCTTTTCCAAAACGTTTGTAAATTGATTGGTGTCAATAAGACCAGAACGACACCCCTGCATCCTCAATTAGATGGAATGGTCGAGAGGATGAACCGAACGATGGGTAAACACCTGTCCAAAGTTGTATCAAAACATCAAAGAGATTGGGATCAGCACATTCATTTATTCTTAATGGCATACCGCTCGGCCGTGAATGAAACTACAGGCCAGACTCCAACCTGCCTGATGTTAGGTCGTGAAGTTCGTTTGCCCTGCGACCTAGAGTTTGGCTGCAGACCTTCCGAAGAACATGTTGCAAGCGAAGATTATGTCGATCGTCTGAAGTTAAGAATGAACAGCATTCATGAACTTGCCCGACAACACATCCAGTTAGCCAGTGACAGAATGAAAGATCAATACGATTCTCGATGCAAGAATGAAAGCTATGAAGTAGGTGATCTTGTTTGGCTTTATAATCCACAACGTCGTCGTGGCTTGTCTCCTAAACTGCAAAGACAATGGGAGGGTCCGTATGAAATTAAAAAGAGAATAAATGACGTAATATACCGAATTAAGAAGTTGCCGAAAGGCAAACCAAAAGTAGTTCACATAAATCGTCTTGCCCCTTATGCTGGCTCAAATGAAACCGAAGAAGTCCGAACCCTTCAACATGAGATCAAAGATAAACGGCGACCAAGCTTTAAGGAGTTTATGTCAAATTACGCAGAGAGAAAGAATGCTAGATTCGGCGTGACGACAGAAGTTCAGCAGGATCTTTTTAGTGTTCCGCATAACGTCACTCTAGCCCACTGTGTTGCCCAAGATCTTGAGATGACCAAAGGAATCTCATCCGTATTTTATAAGAAGTTCGGTCGTTTGGACGAGTTAAAAAACCAGCAGCCTAAAGTTGGAAGAGTACTGAGATTAGAAGATGGTTCTCGATCTTTGCTGTATATGGTGACCAGGAAGTCGTATACAGACAGGGCAACCTACGATTATATATGGTGTGCTCTAACTAATTTGAAGAAAATCGTCTGCAATTACGACATTAAGAATTTGGCCTTACCCAAGATAGGCCATGCACTAGATAATCTGGATTGGAAGATTGTCAGAAGCATGCTAGAAGTGATCTTCCGAAAAACCGGTGTAAGAATTACCGTGTGTTGCACTAATCCAAAGAGATTGTGTCCTTCAAAGACAGTAGACTGTTATTTCTTTCTGAGGGGTTCATGCAGAGCTGGAGAGTCCTGTAGATTCCGCCATACTGGGCCTACATATAGAGTTGCTGATCGGGACGCTCAGATCTAAGAGGGGAGCAGTGTTACGAACGTGCATTTAACGAGGCACGTATAACGGTTGCATCTCGAAACAGCACCTCATGCTTCCATGCGGCGCGGCGGCATCTAGAAAGCGACTCGATATTTCGAGAAAGATCTGTCGCGTTCGCCTAGAGGTGGGAACTTTCTAGAAAATAGTAACTTTAGTATATATATGTAACGATCTTAGGAATAAGTTTAGTTGATAAGATAGTATCGAACTGTAAAGTTATAAATAAATATATTTATATAAATTCGAACCGCTCGTTTTATTTAAAAACGGTACAATACAAAGTATCTGGTAAGAAAAAAAACTAGATTCAAGAAATTAATCATACCAGAATAAGAATATGGTCTACTATTAAAAGACAAATTTCTGAGAAAAATCATATTTAGATCTGTAACATTATTGACTCTCCCGATCAAAATATTCTCTAAACTATAATTAAATACCATAGACTTAAGAGATCTATAAAACTGGACACTCGATATTTAAATATATATACATGGGACCAAATGTGAAAACCGTCATTTTTTTATTGTAATAATTGTAATATATTATATTGGAAGTGAATTGAAAAAAAATTATTTTATTATTCAAACATAAATAAACGAAGTTAGGTTAGAATTGACGTGTGAGGGTATCATAGATTAAGTATATATGGAGGGTATCCCATATTGATTACTCGATTACCGCAAGGCCGAGATAATCAACAAAAAAAGAAGATATATTTGGTGACTTTTCTAGTAACTTTCTTGAGTGTGAATCTGTCTTTTTGGTTTACTCCTCCTGGTTAAAAAACAGAGTATAATAAGTTCTAAACTTTTTGCATCATCCTTGTATACTTACTACTTACCCAGCGTGCGTTCTTTCAATTCTATAAAGGAATCGCATAAGAGAGATAGATATAGCAACGATACATAGAAAGAATCGAGATATAAAATTAAGACGAAAATGACGCTGTCAAAAATCATTTTCAGAATTTAAAGGAACATAATTATTTTTCTTCCTCTTCCATTTTTTCCAAGGAGGTATCAGCATCTGTTTCGTCCAGATCCTCATTAAAATACATAATAAAAATGGCTTTTGGAGATTTAAAAACTGAAAAAGGTGTTAAGGAGCTTAACTCCTTTCTAGAAGACAAAAGTTATGTTAAAGGGTAAGTATAAATTTTTAATTTATAGGGAGTCTATATATAACCTAACTTTACACGTGTAGTTCAACGGTTTTAATCTATTAAATTGTATTTCTACATTTCTAGCTATATCTTAAGCCAAGCCGATGTAGACGCTTTCAATCAGATTTCAAAAGCACCAGCCTCCAATTTACCCCACGCTTTACGTTGGTATAATCACATCAAATCTTTCTCAGCTGACGAACTTAAACAGGCCGGAGTTTCAGGTAACCCCTTGAAATCTGCACCTACCACCACAGCACCTGCCAAGGATGATGACGATGATGATGTTGATCTATTTGCCTCTGATGAAGAAGAAGATGCTGAAGCAGCTAAAGTAAGTCCTGGTTTATAAATATAATTTCATTACCTGACATATTAAAGGATTAATTTAAACATGTTTTAAGTTGCTATTGAAATGATTTCAAAATACTGGTTTTATCTCTTTCTTGGTTGATCTTTAAAAGCATATATTATTCCACAGAATCCCATAACTATGGGATTCTGTTGTCAATGAATGACTACTTTTTCATTATATATGTAACAATAAAACACTGAAAACTTGTGTTTTCAAACTTCCACAAAATTTATTTTAACTCTTATCACTACAGCTGTTTCGGCTGATTGCCTTTCTCAAGTGATCTATTTTTGGCTTGCATTTACACTTTATAGTCTCTAATGAAATAGGTTGAGGGGGGAGAACTGTTTCAAGTTGGTTATTCAGAATTATATCTGTGTTTTTTAATTTGTTGATTTCCATAGATTCTAACAAAGATAGCTTAAGGCCTTTATTTTGAATGTGAAGAATTATAAATTTGTCATTATAAGAATGATTAGGATCTAGAAGGTGAAGTGCATATGTCGAATCTGTTTTTCTATTATTGAAAGCCCTTTTATGTTCTGCTATTCGTTTATTAAAGTTTCTACCAGTTTGATCCATGTAAGTTTTTGGGCAGTCGCCACATTTAAGTTTGTACCATCGAGCAAAAAGACAAAAGAGGGAATGTAAAGGTAGTGGGGGTAAACATATTGTTAGTAGTGGTGGGCTTCGTAGTTCCTTTCTAGGAACTAGTTCCACGGATCTAGTTCCTAAAAAGGAACTAGTTCCAGGAACTAGTTCTTTGGAACTATATTCGATATTTGACATCACAAATAAAATAAAAGTAAAATATGGTAAACGATAGGAAACTAAATTCGAAGGTATTGGTTTAAATATTGATTTCTATTCGCAAAAATAACGAAGTGGGCGACATCTATTAAGTATTTTATAATTAGAACAACAGTTGAGTGAACAACAAATAATACTCATAAGACACCCTTATATTTTTATGATAAATATTCCTCTTATTTTCGTTGTTTTAATATAGGTAAATTGTGATTTCACTAACTACTATATAGCTATAGGTTAAAGTAGTCAGTAGTGTTTAGGACAACTATAATATATTATTAATTTTGTCTTTGAATCCATTAGTATCAGTCCCGGTGCTAGGGTGTAAGTCCCGCTTGCAAAACTAGCACAGGCGCCCTTCGTTTTTTTTTAATTTAATTATTTGTTTAATGTTTTGACAATTTTACAAAATTTAGTAAAATACGATGTCAATAGTTTAAAAAAATGATTCTCCTTGTTTTAATTTTTACAAAATTATCAATAGGATTTCTTTAATCTAAGGTAATATCCAATTTATTACAGAAGTGTATCATTTTCTATTGAAATTATATTACTAAACAGATGATAATACTCAATTGACAACGTTCCCAATAAACTATTTTACTACCAATAATTCATTTATGCTCTTGCTCATATAACACTGCTGACACAGTTTTTTACTGCTTTTAAATAACTTCTCCGAAAAGAAAATAAACAAAGCATTTCATGTGCAAAGTGTAAAGTTGTCTGTTTTTGAAACATAATATTTTACCAATTAATTGTATGGGTGTCGCTAGGTGCTGTTGAGTAGGAATTTATATATTGTATATTTTAAGTGTGTGGGATGGAAAAATAAACACAGATTAGCGTATTACTTTACGCTATACTAAAAAATTAATTCTTCTATTTTACTATTTTATTTATAACACTAGCAGAACAAAAGCTTACAACACACACTACTGACTAGAAAATTAAAAGTCTAAAACAATATCGGAGTAGACCTGTAAAATGAAATGCGTAAATGGGGAACTTGTAATGTAGTTTCGTACTTATATGTATGAATTTAGATTATTAAGGGAACGAAAATACGTAAATGATGATTACTTACAATTTTCTGAAATTTAGACAGCCAGCAATACGCCTTTACCTATTCATGTGGGTTTCCCATTTTTACGCATTTGACGTAACCTAACCTACATTTATTGTTTTTGTATTTTTCTGGTTTGATAAATATATTATTATAAAATGCCTTTGCCACGAAGAAAAGTGAGTGATATGTGGGAACATTTTGATGAGGTGAATAGTAAAGGTATCGCTAAGTGTAAGTACTGTTCTTCAATAATAAAAACTACAGGCGGATCTATGGGAAATTTGAAAAGGCATCTTGGTCGTAAACATCCCACAGTAAATTTGTCAATCGAAAGAAAAACTAGCTGTGTCGTGCAAGAAATTCGGGATGATATTCAGGATGAAATTATCGCAGAGTCAACAGAGGAAATACCTGGCCCTTCCAATCCAGTTAAGAAATCAATAAAAAAAGACACTCAATCGAAGTTGGAAGAATATGTGTCAAAACCAATTTCATCTAAAAAATCGAGAGCCATTGACATCCAACTCTTAAGGATGGTTGTCAAAGAATATCAACCTTTTTCTCTGGTTGACGATGTGGAATTTAAAACATTTGTTTCCATGTTAAATTCAGGCTATTCTCTTCCGACTAGAAAAACGTTGTCAAATAATTTGCTTTCACAGTTGTACCTATCTGAACTTGAAAAGGTTAAGCAAAAATTAAAAAATGTTAATGCTGTTTCTTTGACGACTGATACTTGGACTTCGTCTACAACTGAGTCTTACCTTTCCGTAACTGCACACTTCTTTGAAAACAATTTGGAGTTAACATCGGTTTTGCTGGAATGCATCAAAATGGAAGATAGACATACAGGGGAGAATTATTCTCGCCATTTGAAGGAGATAGTCGGAACTTATGGCCTCGAAGGTAACATAGCAGCTTGTACAACTGATAATGCTGCAAATGTGACTTTAGCTGTCCAACTTTGCAATTGGCGACATATTCCTTGCTTTGCCCATACACTAAATCTTATTGTAAAGAATGCTGTGGAAGAAATATCGGAGACTTCTGATAAAGTTAAATCTATAGTTACTTACTTTAAAAAGAGTACTGTAGCAACATCACAGTTACAAGTTTTTCAAGAACAAATGGGTCTCCCAAAATTAAAACTAAAGCAGGAAGTACCCACAAGATGGAATAGCTTGTATGAAATGTTCTCTCGCATTTTTGAAATAAAAAATGCAGTTATTAGTGCATTAGCCGTTTTGGGAACAGATTATACTTTGTCTGCCGATGATTGGTACATAATAGAGAAAGTTATAGCTATATTAAAAATATATTTGGATGTGACTACAGAGATTAGTGCTGAGAAATATGTTACTATTTCGAAAATTATTCCGATAGTGAAAATGATGAGAAAAAAAATGAACTCACTCTCCTTTGAGAATGAACCAGAAAAAATTAAACAAATGGTATTAAAACTTAAAAGTGGACTCAAAGAAAGATTTAAAAATATTGAAGATAATGAATTATACTGTCAAAGCACAATTTTGGATCCACGGTTTAAGAAGTACGGATTTGTGGACGAGGTTAAATTTAAACGTGCATGTGAATTTATGAAAAAAAAATTGCAATCCTTTAGAATTTCTGATGAAATAGACGATCAAAATCAAATACCTTCAACATCACAGAATTCTCAACCTATTGTTGCAAACAAAGATTTATGGGATGATTTTGATGAGGAGGTAAAAACTGTTTGTGCCTATGATTATAACCCTCAAGCAGCTGCCATAATTGAAGTCGATAGATATTTGAAGGAGCCTTTGCTTCTTCGAACAATGGATCCTCTTAAGTGGTGGAAAGAGCGAAGCAATATATATCCAAGATTATTTCAGTTAGTGAAAAGAAGATTGTGTTTAGTAGCAACTTCCGTGCCATCGGAACGCATTTTTTCTAAATCTGGCTATGTAATAACTGAAAGGAGAAATAGGATAACTTCAAAAAAAGTTAGAGAAATCATGTTTTTAAACCATAATTTGTAACATTTATACAAGTTTGCTTCTAGATTTTAAGTTTTACTTTATTAAGATTTGTTTTACAAATATATATATATATATATATATATATATATATATATATATATATATAATATATATATATATAATTAATATTTTGTTGGGAAATAAGCCACAATAAAGTTAAAAATAAGTTTATTTTTTGACGTTTCAATTTCCACTTCGGAAATCGTTTTCAAAATACAAACATTAATAATAAACTAAATTGATTAATTAATAATAAACTAAATTTATTAATGTTTGTATTTTGAGAACGATTTCCGAAGTGGAAATTGAAACGTCAAAAAATAAACTTATTTTTAACTTTATTGTGGCTTATTTCCCAACAAAATATTAATTACATTAAGATGCCATAAGAAAATAGCTTCAGAACAGTATTTATATATATATATATATATATATATATATATATATATATATATATATATATATATATATATATATATATAGGTATATACCTATATTTGTTTTTTAGAGAATTAAGAATTACGTTTCCTTAATAGATATTGTTTATATTTTGTTATAACATATTAAAAATAATACTTTTATTCTAAAAAATTATATTCATCAATTTGTGTATTTATTACTACTCAGATATCATCATCAAAATATTGTCACCCTTTTTTCTCATCTCATACGAGACACCGCTACTACAGACAATTATTATAATAAATTAATCGTATAGCTGACAGCCAACGATCAAGCATACCGAATACCGATCAAGTTTCCTCGGAACTGTCCAGAGTACATACCCCCCATACATGTTGTTAGTTGTTATGTATTTTGGAACTGTCTTAGTTCCTCGGAACTAGTTCGTTTTCATCGATCGAAGAAATACTTAGAGATGCAATTCGCACTCAGCACTCAGCTTCGCAATCAGCAGTGAAGTTAATAGTTCCTCGGAACTAGTTCCATTTAATTTTCGGAACTATTTCATTTATAATATAAAATGAACTAGTTCCAGGAACTAGTTCGTTCCGGAACTACCCATCTCTAATTGTTAGACAGGAAGTGCGATCTTTAGAGGCCACTTTAAACAAGGAAAGAGAGTCTCTCTCCTTGTTTGACATCAAATTTAGTTGGGTTATGTTATTGTTTGTCCCAAATGTCACATGAAATCTTATTTATATTGAAGTTTTTTAACAATTGTGTCGCATTTTAGACTCTTATCGTTAATAATTAATTAAAACTTTGTAGTCGTAAGACACATTCTGAAAAATATTATATAGCTACTGTTGATAAGTGTCGGAAAATTTAAATTTGGCGCATTCGCATTTCCGGATATGTCCGTCATCAGAGGCCACTTTTTTGGTCTCCTTTTCATAAGCATTAGATTCCCTCTTTTGTCTTATTGCTCGATGGTTTGTACACACCACTATGTAAGTGTTTTTTATTTTGCCTCTTGTTATTTTTGATATATTTGCCTAGGTTGTTATTTGTTCGAAAAGCTGGTGTTATTCCTTTCCTTTTTATGTGTTTGGCAATTTTTGTTGTTATTTTGCTTGTATATGTAATCGAACAGAAGATACTGGGTTTTTTCTCTGGTGGTGGAAATAATAATTTCAGGGCTTTCTTGTTTAGTTTTTGATTTAACATTTTATTAATTGTTTGTTCGTTGTATCCGTTGTTTACTCCTATTTGCTTAATTATATTTAATTCTGTCTCAAAGTTGTATTTTGACATCGGAATTTCTGTTAATCTATGTAACATACTATGATGTGCTGCCAGTTTATGTTGTGTTGGATGGGATGATGAATTGTGTATAGTTGTGTCAGTATGGGTAGGTTTATGAAATATGGAGAAGTCATGTTTGTTTTTAAGACTGATAATTTTTAAATCTAAAGAATTTATGGATTGATTTTGTTCTGTTTTATTTTAAATTCAATATGACTATGAAGTGAATTAATATATGATAAAAATTAGTCGAGTTGCTTGTTAGTTCCTGTGAAACATACCCGTATGTTGTCTATGTATCTCCACCGATATAAAAACTGTTTGAATACGGGATGTTTTGAAATCTTTGTCTCTAGATGATCCTTAAAAATATCTGATAGCAATTGGCTTAGAGGATTGCCCATTATAAGTCCTGCACTGTTATTTGTATATATTTGATTATTAAATTCAAAGTAGTCCTGGTTTATGCAAACTTCAAGAAGATGTAAAATTTCAGATGTAATTATTGGATTTGTACTATTTTGGTCTAAAAGGTTTTTTACTAAAATAAAAGTTTCTGTAGGAGGGATACTAGGAAAAATATTTTTTATGTCAAATGAAATCAATCTGGAGTTGTTAGGTAATTGAAAATGTTGTATTTTATTAACTAGTTCTATTGTATTTTTTATGGTAAATTTAGGTGAAAATTTAGTGTGTTCTAAAATAATCTCTAACGAAAGAAAGGCAATCAGCCGAAACAGCTGTAGTGATAAGAGTTAAAATAAATTTTGTGGATGTTTGAAAACAAAGTTTTCAGTGTTTTCATAAAACGAATTTCCATCAAGTACTGGTCAAATCCATCAATTACTTTTTCATTCTTTAGAATTACTCATTTGTTTTTATTAACATTATAAATAATAGTGTCACCAGACTAATTCAATCTTGTGTTGTTTTTCTTTTTTTTTATCATGAATCTTTAATTTTCTTTTCTTATCATGTAATTGATTTTTTCAGTTTGTTCATATAGGCATATTTCAGTGTTTTTGTCATCCAGTCTGTTTTATTTTCTTCTGGCAATGTATGTGCTCAGCTGATTATTTGTCTGCTTCTATATGATATTTTGATTTTGTGGGTGTATTACACACATTTGTTTATTGAGAATCTGGCAAGTTCTTCTTTAAATTGTGTTATAGATCTACCTATCTGGGCGATAAAACTTCAGTAAAAGAGTGTGGAAGCTTGTTACTTAGGCTCCTATTTGGGGTCAAAGGACACTAAAGTTGCCAGAAATACTGGATAGAGAGCTATGTTCTTTTGGACATTAGTGTACAGTGTGTCAAACTTATGTCAAGCCCATCAACACTCATGTTTCTGTTACAGTAATACAAGGACTTACAACAAAACAGTCCACACATTTGTGTGGACTCAAAAAGTGACTAGGATAGCTATGGAACAAAATGCTCAACATTAAATTCAGTGATTGCATATCCATTGAAAAAATAAGACAATTGAAAGTTACAGATGATGTAATTGAAAAAATTGGAACATATTGACATATTAAAATGGAACTGGGTAGGACACATAGAAAGAATGGAAAACAACACTAAAATAAGCAAAATGTTCAATGGTAACCAAGCGTAAATAAGAAAAGTAGAGGAGGACCTCAAACCAAATTGACTGATATGAAGCAAGCAGAAATAAATGGCTTACATCTGACTATAGATGGAATAACTGTTGATGATCAATAATCTCTTGGATTTGTTTATTTTACTTTCAAATCTTCTTTTATTTGATTTTTTTGTATTTTTTTTTTAATCTTATTGCTATTTAATCCAAAACAATAACAAACAGAATTTCTCATATATACTCTTATATTAAATACTTCATTAAAGCCATTGCTTATGTTGACTGTATCCAAATATTTTAGGTACGTGAAGAAAGACTTAAAGCATATGCAGAAAAGAAATCCAAGAAACCTGAATTAATTGCCAAATCTAGCATTGTACTCGACGTAAAACCATGGGATGATGAGACTGATATGAAAGAATTAGAAAAAGTAACCAGAACCATTGAAATGGATGGTCTCGTCTGGGGAGCATCAAAACTCATGCCAGTAGGATATGGTATCAACAAACTGCAAATTATGTGTGTTGTAGAAGATGCCAAAGTATCTGTTGATGAATTAGTGGAGAAGATTCAAGAATTTGAAGACTATGTTCAATCAGTAGATATTGCTGCTTTCAACAAAATTTAAACAACTGGTACTATCTTTCTTATGTATTTTTATGAATTAAAGCAATCATTTTAAATTTAATATTGTTTTATTCTTAGCATTATTATAATATACTAGTGATTTTGCCTATCACATGCAAAAATAAAAGTTATTTATTTTTGACTTGCATATTATTTGCTTATTTTAGCTTGGATAAGGTTACCATAAACAAACTTGTTCTTTTATTATTATCCTAGGGGATAATCAGCGGGCATTATGGCCTATAACGCCCTGTTATATAAGAAAAAAAGCAAATGTCATGGAATGAAGTTGTTTTAATTTTAAACAATTTTAAAAGGAGTAAAGATTACAGATTTACTAAGTATGAAAATACTTATAGAATGGGCAAATGAATACCACATTCCTTTATATATGGCGTTCATAGATTTCGAAAAGGCTTTTGACAGTGTCGAACATTGGGCAATGAAAAGTTCTTTGAGTAACAGCCGAATTGACCACAGATATACGGAACTAATAACCAATATATATAAGGAAGCCAAAAAAACAATTAGAGTATACGAAGGAACAAAATCATTACAAATAAGTAGAGGCGTGAGACAGGGTGATACAATATCACCGAAACTTTTCAATCAAGCTCTTGAAGATGCTTTTAAAAGATTAGAATGGGAAAAAAAAGGTATAAAAATTTGTGGACAATGCTTGAACCATCTAAGGTACGCTGATGACATCGTATTGATAACTGATAAAAAAGAAGAATTATTTGAAATGATGAAAGAAGTGGACGTAGAAGCTGGAAAGATAGGCCTTAATATGAATTACAGCAAGACCAAAACTATAACAAATACAGATGAAGACATCACAATGAGAATCGGACAAGATGAAATAGAAGAAGTTAAGGATTATATATATCTTTGTCAAACTATAAAACTTAACTAAGAGAACCAAACAGCAGAGATCAAGAGACGAGTTAGACTGGCATGGGCGGCATTTGGCAAACTAAGCTACATTCCTAAAAACAAAAGATATCCACAGCATCTTAAGACCAAAGTATATAATCAATGTGTACTCCCTGTTCTTACTTATGGTTCCCAAACGTGGACATCTACAAAAGCAAACATGGACAAAATCATAAAAACCCAAAGAGCAATGGAAAGACAAATGTTGCACATAAGACTAATGGATAAGAAGAGAAACGAGTGGATAAGAGAGAAAACAAAAGTGAGGGATGTTAGACAAGAAGTTGCAAAATTGAAATGGAGATTTGCCGGACACAATATAAGACAAAAAGAAGACTGATGGAACAAAATTCTTATAAGTTGGAGACCGTGGGAATATAAACGAAGCAGAGGAAGGCCCAAATGAGATGGGCAGATGATATCAAGAACCACGTGGGCGCTAGATGGATGACTGTAGCGACAGACAGAGAAGAATGGAAAAGGATTGGGGAGGCCTATGTCCAAAGATGGACCGAAGAAGGCTAATTAGATAGATAGAAAGATTAAAGAACATAACATTTTTTAACCTTAATAATCTTTATAAATACTGAAAGTACAATTTTTTTATTAACAAATGACAAATCCACAACTGAATATAAATCCAACTAACAACTACATAATGTAATCAACAACTACTGTCAGACTACTTCAAACAAGTAAAAACATCTTAATTTTAGTATTTTTATTATGTGAAGTGGAAAATAAAATCTTATGTACCACTGGTGTTAATAGATGATCGTCAAGCTACATCCATCACTCTGGCTGGATTATGTTGCTCTCTGGGTGTAAACACCCTTGTATCAGAGCACACCAAAATGACAGTGACGTCATTCATTCTAATCATTAGATTGCATTGGTTTCATTTTAATTAACATGCTAGATGCGTGCTACTTGCCACGCCAATTTGGTGGCACTCTCACTTGGATTAACCTTTAGTGACACATACATATGATAATTTTCCTTTATATATTAAATTTTGCTTAATATATCTTAGGATAAGGATTTTATCAATGTTCAATTTTCTCCTAAAATGTTACTTGTGAATTTGGTGACATCGTTGGTATGTCTTTCCTTTCCAACTGGTAATTTGGACATTCTGCAAGTACATGCTTAACACTGAGGGAACTGAGTTGTCATATAGAGGTGGGTTAGTATGATTCTTTTTGTACAGTAGCTAGTCCTTTGCTAATTAGAAGAGCAACTGGATGGTTCATGTAAAGTTGGTTAATGGTTTGGATGTAACTGAGAATCAGTAATTCTGTGGTCGCAGGGTAAAAGTTCTTAAGTCAAGTTTTGGCCATTTTGAGTTTAATGGACCAACAGATAGGTGGCTATCTATATTTGTGGGTAAAAAAACCTGAGTCCTATATAACGATTCGTTTCTACAATACAATTGAGGAAATAATAACATAAGTCGAATATTGTTTGTTTGTATTTGGGTAAAACAACCTTAGTGACATAAGAACTAATTCGCTTATGAAATTTTGAGCAAAAGTTCCTATGACAATTTAGGAAGTTATACCCGGTTATAAAAATTGCTGGCAACCTTGAATTAGCATCACATAAGAATCAAATTTCTTACTGTGATTGACCGTTTATGTTTTAGAAGCTTGTTTATCACTGTGTTCTGTGTTACAAAAGTTTGTATTTTATCTAAACTATAATAGTTTATAACGAAATGGATAGTTTTTCAAGAGGAAAGAAACTAGCCCTAATGGGTTTATCTAAACAATATAGCTGTAAGTATTACATAATATAATTATTATATTAATGCTAGTGAGATTATGATTATATTTTATTAGTTTACAAATTTGCAACGTTTTTAACACATACATTATTTTAAATTTGTTGCTAGTAAACTTATGATTTGTATTGATTTCATATAAATATAATTTGGTTTTGATTTTGACATATTTGTTTTATTTATCAGATAAAAACCAGGCAACCACATGCACATCAGACAACAGTCAAACAACAGCCAGTACATTGAGTGATAGTATACAGAGTGCCTCAAAAAATAAATGTAAATAGAACTGAGTTTAACAAACATATTTTACTAGCTGCAGTTTATTTTTTCATGTTTTCTTTTAATACCACTTCACATTTTTTCAGGGCAAACCGTAAATGAGTTTGAGGATCCTTTTCATAATAGTGATGATGAATACAAAGACCCAGAGGATATGACCCAGACATGTATATCAGGCAACAGTCAAGCATCAAGCAGTACATGGGGTGATGATATACAGAGTGTCCCAAAAGATAAATGTAAGTGGAAACAGAGTTTAACAAAACTATTTTTCTAGCTGCAGTTTGTTTTTTCGTGTTTTCTTTTAATAGCGTTTCATATTTTTTTAGGGCAAATTTTAAATGAGTTTGAGGATCCTTTTCATAATAGTGATGATGAAGACAAGGACCCAGATTACATTCCAGATTTAGACGAATCAAATTTAGACATTTCAATGAACAATTTAGATAACAATGTTGCAGGACAGAAGAAAATTGAACTTACCACACCACAAGCTACTAGTGCCCCAATGGAGACACAAGAGGAAGTACTACAGCAGTAAAAACAAAGAGAACCACAGACATAGTTCAAACAGTCCCTTCTAAACGATCAAGGATTGTTAGAGAAACAAGGAAGATTTGCAGAAATACTGGTCAACTATATGTCACAGAGAGTGGTAAAGAAGTACGGGGTAAATTTTGTCAAGATTTATTACCATGTCGAGTCTTAGATTTGAGACGGCTAAACGACAAGAGCTGTTTTCTGGTTTTTGGTCTTTAGGAAGTCACGATCGTCGAGCAAACTATATTGTTAGCTTGATTACGTCCAAGCTTAAGGCAACAACTCGTATACACTCAGATACTAACAACCGCAAAAGAGAGTTGACATATACCTACAATATTAAAATTGATGGAGAATTCCATAAAATATGTAAAGTATGTTTTATGAAAACTTTTGATATCACAGAAGGGTTCATCAAAGTTCAACTTAACAAAATACTGAAAAATTCCGATGGAGCAACTATAAGTACTGACAATCGAGGAAGACATTCACCAGTAACAAAAACTACACAGGAAAGAAAAGATAAAATCACCAATCATATAAATTCGTTCCCAAGATATGAAAGCCATTACAGCAGAAGACATACTGAAAAAAAGTATCTTCCATCTCATTTAAATATTTCTGTAATGTATTTACTTTACAAAGAATTAGTAACGGATAACCCAGTATCCTACAATGTGTATAGGAATATTTTTAAGGAAATGAATTTAAGTTTCAAAGTGCCCCATAATGATACATGCAATACGTGCGAAATACGTGAAATTATGTAAAGATGAACTAGAAAAACAAGATCTCGTAATTGAATGGAACAGACATAAAACTGCAGCTGACAAACATTTTGAAGCAAAATCAAAGGATAAAGCTGACGCAATAAAAAATCCTTCAATTAAAATGGTAACTTTTGATTTGCAACAAGTCTTACAAACTCCTTATCTACGTTCATCTATAATATTTTATAAACGTCAATTGGCTGTATATAATTTAACAGTCCATGAAGGTGACACAGGAGTAGCTTGGAATTTTATCTGGAATGAAACAATCGCAGGACGAGGTGGTAACCAGATTGGTTCATGCGTATATAGATATATTTCTCAACTTTCACCAGATATAACTGATTTGATCATGTATTCTGACACATGTACAGGTCAAAATAGAAATTCACATATAGCTGCAATGTGTATGGTAAGTGGACATTCACATATGGAGTGTGACACAGTGCATGCAAATATAGAAAAGAATAAAAAGAAGACATCCATGGATATTCATCATCCACGTGATTGGTCTCAGTTAATCCGATCAATGGGACCGAAATATGTTGTAGTAGATATGGACCAACCAGATTTCTTAGATTTTAAGCAATTATATGCCAAAGAACTGCAATTAAAAACAAAAGATAACGAGAATAATAAATTTATGTGGCATTATATACAATGGATGCGATTTTTAAAAGAAGAAAATAGGTGTACTTTGTTATATAAAAGTTCTCTAGAATTAGATGAGCCTTTTAAAAAAATTTCTTTTCTAAGAAGAGGACAAAGGATAGCGTCACCTCTGATGATGAGTAATATTAATTTATTTTTTAAGATTTTTTTCCTTAGTGATCAAAAAATGTTTAGTTTGTATGATTTTATTAAATATTTACTATATAATACGTTTTTGTTATTTATTTTTAATATGTAAGACAATAATAACGACTACAGATGCCATTTTTTCATAAAACATGTATTGAGATCAGTGAACTAAAAAACTTAAGTCATATAACCCATTGGGACATAACTACTTAAGTCATTTTTTTATGAATTAAAAAAAATTGAACTAGTTAGCTATGCAACTCCTAGATAAACAATAAACTAAAACTGATATACAGTTAAACTCTTACATTTAGTAACGATTTTAAAGTTATGATTCTGGAGAAATGTCTAAATAGTTCAACCTCGTATATCTCGATACACTGATTTCTGACTTAAGAAGTTTTACCCTGCGACCACAGAATTATAAGAACATAAGGTATGTTACTGAAGTTATTATGAGCAAAATTTTGTTAGATTGTATTTAGTTTGCCAGCATGTATACTGATTAAGGATGGTAGTGTAGACTATCAGAAGTTGTTTTGTTTATGGAATGCTTATTGTCCAAGGAGGAGGAAGTCTTTTAGAGCTGGCTTAGATATTTGGTATCTGAATTTGTAAAGTCGTAAGAGTTTGCCTAACTATTTTGTAGAATGGTGGTTTTATTTATGAACTACTCTCTTGTCCTCAATATTTCCTTGGATCATTAGTTGAGGGATTTCATAGCTTTTGCCTCTTATGATATGGCCCAGGTATCCAACTTTTCGTACCTTGATCAAGTTGAGCAATTGTCTTTCAAGTATTTGCCCCATATTAAGACTTCCTCGTTTCTCAACCTATCCGTCCACGGTGTTCGGAACATTCTTTTTCAATATCCACATTTTGGAAGCCTTATTAATACGTTGCCTGTAGTAGGGGATTTTATAATACTTTACCTTCACGCTATAGCGACCGAGCCGTCACCACAGTTACATTACAATTCTCGGTCAATAGACCCCGCTGACGTGCAGGGCAATTTTTTCTCGGTCACATAGACCGAGACAGTAAGCAATGTGTTAATGGAGTATATTTTTACCGTCCATGCCTATACTACTCCGTATAACAATATGGACCACAAATATCATTTAACATTCCTTTTTTTGTTTTTCTTGCATTTATGTTCAAGTTGTTTACATTATTTATTTAATTTAGCGGTAACTGCATATCATGTTCGTTATCTGTCATTATTCTGATGTCGTCGCCGTAGCGAACGTTACTTATCGGATACCCGTCCCGTTAACCTTTATCTTTATCCCACACTCAGAGCCTACAAGTGCTTCTGCAAAAACAGACTCCACCACATAAAGGTTAAACAACACAGAAGACAAAATACACATCTGTTGTACTCCTCTCAAAATTTTAAATTCCTCTGTGTTGGTTGACTTGTTCAGCCTCATTCGTGCCTTTTTTGTTCCAATAAGGATTCTGGATAACTCATATATTTTTCGAAAAATGTCAAATACTTTTTCTTAATCGATGAATATGATGAACGTATCCTTTCGTTCGTCCATGCAGTTTTGTACACGCGTATTCAATCAGAAAAGCTGCTTCTTGTGTAGGGGAATTGTAGGAACACTGAGACGCAAAACTTTCAAGGACAATAGCTTTTTTATTAAATGCTACTTTAAACTTTTATTCTAACTCTATATTTGGTATATAAACAAGAATTGAAAAATCATGATGTTTTTTGATAAAAACTAAATTTAACACTTCAAAAATATTAAAATTAAAAATTACTAAATGTCTCAGTGTTTCTTTTAATATGGGAATACTGAGACGCAACAATTAGCATTATTTTACGTTAAGACTGTCAAAGTTTAATTCAAATTTTAATAGCGAACTTTGGCGCTTAGTTAACCCTTGCATTACAGGGGGCGGCAAAACCATTTTAATGTTTTTTTTAATACATGTGAGATATTTGGGACAACTGGAAAAAAGCCTGTTTTTACAATTAGCGCTTTTTCTTAAAAACGATATTCCAAAATTATTTTTTTAGTATCTCTTTTGCTTAGAGTTAAATTCAACAATTCCCATTATTGGGACAACGATCAAGATTTTAGAAACTAATCTGTTCGGGATGTTCACCAATAAAATCCTCTCCTCCGCTGGAATCTTGTAATTTCATCTCATTTTCAACTTGCTCGTCAGAATCACTATCTAATACGCGCCTAGTTACTTTTTTCTGTTTTGGTGTTTTTTCTTTAGATTTAATCAGTTCCATTTTTTCCGGGTTATTCGTAGCTCTCATCGTCTTTCCTTTGCGTTTTTTGTTGCCTTCCCAGATTTTTTTGTCGGAGCTTTAGGATAACTCTTAAAAACTGTTGGGCTAACAAAGGTTTTCGTGGTATCAGTATTATTTTAACTTGGATTTTCTACATCTAGGGATTCATTTATATTTTCAGCAGCAGCTTCAACTGCAACAAGTGGCCTATCTAACGCCATTATTTTTACATAAATCAATTGCCTCAATCGATAAATGACTTAGATGATTATCAATTAGCAATAAAGAAGGATTTTCTCTGGTACTACCAGTGTGCTTAACAAAACGCTTAACAACTTGCACATAGTACTCCAACCTGTTTTTGAAGCTAGTCCTAAAGTTCCAGGGGGCAACCCGTTTATCATAAAATCTTTAAAGTGTACTCTCGGGAATACCAGAGCCGGAAGAATAGCTGCTTCAGATACTCCAACAATACAGCATGTTGTTACGATCGTTCCACGTTCGCCACTTGTAATCTTACTAACCTGTCGTGTACCTCTTTCTGCAAACACTTTTTCGGACTTTTGAACGGTAAGGGTTCCTGTCTAATCTAAATTATAAATGCGACTACCATCTACAAAAACAGGAAACCCTTTAAGACAGTTTCAAGTTTGCTGAAAAATATTTCAATGTTAAATTTATTAAAACCGGTTACCCTTGCAAGACTACAACCTTCTGGGGTCCGGAGGGATAAATTATTGGAATGACGTTTTTAAATTACTTTCATCCAGGCAAGTAAAGCAATTTTTGATGTATGCCAGTTTGCTGGAACCACTATATAATTGTATGCTGCGGCTCCCTATGACAGTTTTCGAGTATCTTCTCTTGTTTTACTTGTAATTGTAGTAAAAATTTGTTTTACTTTGTAATTGGGACATAAACGGACGTTCTCATCCTGTTGATGTTTTTTTAATATCTGTGGACTGTTCGGAAAGATAGTCCTTTCATTCGTGCTGCTTGCCGTTTAGAGATGCCACCTTGTACTAATTCAATAGCCTGTCTCATCAGATATTCAGAGAACCTTCCTATTTTCCGATGTTTTATTTTTTCTTGACATTTTCTTTCTGTAAGAGAAATTACTTTGCAAATCATCTGGTACAACTATAATGGAAAAGTGAGACAGTAAAGGAACAGTAAGACGCGTCTCACTGTTCCATCTGCTGTGTTATCTCACTGTTCCCTAAAAATTCGTTAATAAAAGTCGATAAAACAAAAAATAATAAAATGTATACAAAAATCATTTGTTTTAATTTAATTGCCTTGTAAAATGGTTTACTTTTTAGTTAAAATAACTTACCTTGTCTAAAAAACTTCAATTTTCGTGACCGGCAACGTAGATATCCTATATTTACTACGACGCACTTATTTCGTATGGTCAGCGATAAGTAAGTTCTACTGAGTTTGTCTCGGTGTTCCGACCGTCTCACTGTACCTACCTCTCCCCTACTTATTCCGCTCTTGAAACGAAATTATGTCTCGCTGCTTAGCTTCTCCTCTAATCTATGAGCTTTTCCAGCTTTTTGAACATTCTGGCGTGGAAGATACGCATTCATACCAGAGAACTACGAACGCATGTGTTCGTATGTTCTCTGTTAATACTTCAATGTACTTTATGATATTATAAATGTTGAATAAAGCAAATCCGTTGGAATATGACCGGTTATATAATGGCACTGAAAATCGTTATCAACATGTCGATGTTGTCATCTTCTAACAGTTTTATGACTTCCGTTGTAATGCCATCCAGTCCAGTAGCCTTGTCCAGCTATGCTACTTTTATAGCGTACTCCACCTCGGCACGAAAAATGAGACGGTCGAATAAGTTGGTAAGATAGTAATTTGAAGAATCGGTCTATTATCCTTAAAGAACGACGAAGCATAGTCTGTCCCGGTATTAGCTAGTTCTTTCTAAGTATGTACGTAAACAATTGGCACAGACACACAACACAGAGTACATCTTGAGAAGAGAAGTTCTCTCTCCTTTACCTTTCTTGAAATTGCTAGATGACGCCAGGAATTTCAAGTTTGTCAAAAATCGTTGCCATTGATTAAGGGAACCAATTCGTAGGAAAAAATTATTCCTTAAAGCATGTAAACTTATTAAAACAAAAATTTTGTTTCTCCTCTTTATTTTTTATTGATTACTAATAAATAGAAATCAGTATATTTATTATACATATAACATATGCTACTAGATCTAATAAACAGTTCAAATTAATAATAAACATTAATTTGAACATTTCATTCTGTTCATTTCACGCACTTTTTCTTGAATTTGTAATTCTATTATTTGTCTGTATTTCTCTCCTTGTCCCAAACTTTCCATTTCTTTCAACCACTCTTCTCGATCTCTTATCTCTTGCACCACTAAAACAATAAGAGTATAATTTTGCAGTTAAAAAATATAGAAGACAAAAATAATCATATCCAAAACCTATGTATAAAACTGAATCCAGATCTGTTCTCCAAAGTAAAATATGTTGCCAAATAATGTAAATCGCAAACACTGGTAATCAAAGATAAAGTAGACACACACAAAAAATAAATCCGGAATGTATCGAACCTGTGTGAAAACAGTAGTGCAAGACACTGTCCTCTAACAATAATAATAATAAAGACATCAATAAATATCAGGAACGTTTTGAAACAAAAAATATAAAATTGGAAACAAAAATAAAGAACTTTGATCAAATAAAAGGCAAATATCGAGCACAGTTTAATTAATTTAATCTTGCCCAAGTACTTTTGCTCCGTAGAGCATCTTCGGGACATTTCGTCAATTGTGGCTTATCCGACAAGCTGTATTTGTTTGTCCTTGTGTAGTGTAGTGTGATGTACCATTTTATGTTTATAACATTTTATTTCTGTCGGATAGGCCACAATTGACTAAATGCCCCTGAAGATGCTCTAGGGAGCGAAAGTACTTGGGCAAGATTAAATTAATTAAACTCTGCTCGATATTTGCCTTTTATTTGATCAAAGTTCATTTATTCGAGCATTCAACCTTATATCTAAAAATAAAAAACCTAGGAATGAAACTAAGACGGAAACACTTAAATAAATAAGAAAAGTAGGACCTTGCTTAAAGCCTCCAATATATACAACATTGTTGAACACTTAAGAAATAAAAGAAGTAGAGATCGAAGTAATGCTTATACAGGAAAAAATACGAGGGAACTTTGTCAAAATGTAGAAAAATTATGAGAATTCGATCTAGAAACATTCTTGTGCTTTTTTGATTACTCAAAAAATCAGATTCTTAAGGCAAAGTGTCTTTCGAAATATACGTCTACCGAAGTATGATCCGCAGAATGATGCACATCTCATGGACAGCATACTGCACCAATATTATTAGTAGAGGAGATCCTTGTATCTTAGCACACTTTTCTTCAAACCCACACAACTTGTCTTTTAATCAACTTGAAGTATATTGATTTTTCATATTTCACACCTTCATAGTAATATTAATTAAAAGTCATACATAGAATTACTAAAGAATACCCCTTTAAGTATAAAAAAATGAAAATTGATTTTATGATTTTGTCCCAAGGTAAAGAAGAAATCTCTATAAAACTGCTAAGCTCTAAGACTAGCTGTGATGTACGAAATTGAATGTTGTGCAGTTAAAAAAGAGGAACCACAAATGCATAATAATCATTTGTGAGAATGAAAATGTTTAGATAGATGAGTGGTGTGACTGAAAATGATAAAATTAAGAATGAGTACAATAAAGAAAATCTAGTAGTGGTACCAATTGCTGCTAAAATGGGAGGGCATAGGTTAAGGTAATTGGGGTATGTTTAGGGCTTAGACGATACCACCATAGAATAATAAACAATCAGAATGCCTACTCTACTTGTCAAGATTTTTTAAACGGAACCAGTGCTGTTCAGTGAAATTTTATCTGTTGTGCATAGAAAAATAAACCCGGTTTAGTTTATTTCCGGCAACCATAGACATAATATGCACTATTTTACTCGTAATTTTAGTTGAAGAATAGATTAAACTATTTCAAATTTACTAAATTATTCATCTCTAAAAATTTAAATTACAGTTCTGTCGAAGCTTGTCACAAATTTCTCAATTCGAGTCTATGTTTCCGTTTAAAATATTAAAGTGCTGTTCAGCGAAATTGTATCTGTTGTGCATAGAAAAACTAACCTGATTTAATTTATTTGCGGCAACCATAGACATAATATGCACTATTTTATTCGTACTTTTAGTTGAAGAATAAATTAAATTATTTCAAATTTACTAAATTAATTATCTCTATAAAAATTTAAATCGGCGGCATTCTGATTGTGCATTCTGATTGTTATTTATTCTGTGTTATCACCCAATGCAGACAATCACCCAGTTCCTGGAAGGAGTAGGGGAAGGAGACCAAAGTAATAATGGGGGATAATATCGGAAGTTGATCCTCCCTAAGGATAAGGGCAAAGATAATAATAATATATGAGCCGATCGCGTAAAATTGGATGTAGCTAGTCCTGCGCTTTTTTCTTTTTTTATGGAGCAAGTAAACACATACTGTTTCTTCGACTTCCATTATTGGAATAAAGCAAAGCCAGCTTACTCCACACACTAACCGCGACTCTCTGTAAATGTTCACTTATCGCGAATTGTCAATTCTGCCCTGTCTGGACAGTAAATAAAGCGCCAATTTAATAAATAGCTAATGAGAGAATTATAAAATACATAAGAGTGATAGTCTTACACTGATCAAAGCGATTAATTTCTTCTTTATTATCCTGGCAAATCTTTTTCTCTATAACTTTCTTCTGATTTACGACAATGTCTGCTTTATATGCCATTTGATTCTGTAGTTTTTCTTTTTCCTTCTCTCGGTCAAATAAAATAGGTTTTGGAAAAAATTGTTCTCTTTCGTATACTCCTGAGTTCATTATAGTTTCTCTTGAACGTTTCTTGGAGCTTCCAGGTCTGATAGATATCTGAGGAATATGGGAATGGCTTCTGGTTTGTGTCGGAAAGGGTTCACCATTCCTTAAGAAATAATTATTTTTCTTGTTTTGTGTCATTGTCATTTTGCTTTCTTGTAATAGTTCTAAAAATAAAGTAAAAATAAGAAATATACAAATATGAATGATATCACGAACGCAGTTAATTTATTTATAAAACTCGAGATGGAATAATTTATTTACCATACAACAGAAATATATATATATATATATATATATATATATATATATATATATATATATATATATATATATATATATATATATATATATATATATATAGTGCGTACCATAACTTTATAATGAAAAACATATTCATAACAACTAGGGATAAATTAATTATGACTAAATTCCGAAAAAAATATGACAGCGTGTAAAGCATAAAATCAGTAAGATTTTAGTGCAGTCGAATAATATTGCTGGAAAAAGTTAGTATTTTCATTGACAAGCACACTTCTGCTGTGTGCTTTGCTTAAAAGCTTTGTCGAAAATTTTAGTTTTTTGTGTCCTGTGCTTATGTCACGTTGTGATAGGGATAATGGCATTACGAAGTTCCTCTCGTCTAACCTATATTCTTTGATTGGTCTGTCCAATATACGATTTGTCGCACTCTTCACAAGGGATCTTATATACTGCTTCATTTTGCAATGCAACTTTTGTTTTTGTAGATGGTACTATAGCTGAGATTTCTTAACGATATCAAATAAATATAGCCTCTTTTGTTTGTTTTGTTTTGTTTTTTCTTAGCATTCTGCTTATTTTATCTGTCGTACCTTTTATATAGGGCAAGATAGTTTTACCAATAAAATTTTTAGTCATATCCGAATATTCTACATTGTAATTGAAACACAAAATCATAATAATATAATATCGTTTGTATTAACTGTAGTCCTATTTAATGACTCTTAAGTCATGAGTTTTAATTAACATTTCGGTTTATTTACTACTAAAAACTAAAAACTACACAGTGTAGTTGATAATCAATGATATAGTCTAGAACATCGTTTAAATTATGTGTGAAACAATCTTTGGCAGTCGCGATTTCGTTTGTATAATGGCTTTAAAACACGCAAATTTGTTTGAAATTAATAGAACTATAAATAGAAAATTAATAAAAAAGAAGTTTGTAACCTGTTGGAATAAAAAATTGAAATGATTTACCAACAGAGGTGTTTGTAAAACACATTATATAATTTATTAACTTATGTTATTGAAGAATTTAACAAATTACAACTATAAAATATTTAGATTTGTTTTGTATTTTGAGTATTTAGAACAACAATAAAAAAACTAAAACAATACAAGACACATACACGTACGATCAAATTGGGCCACTTTGTTGTGGAAAATCGTCACTAATACACTAATTCGCATTTTATGCGAATTCCAGTTTCTTTTTATCGCATAGGTTGAAAATATGTCTTTTGTAACCTATTTATCAATAATAATAGTATTTGCATCATAATACAATATTAAAGAAAGAAAATGGAGGAAATGATCTTTTGTGGTATTAAAAATCTTCTCAAAGCAATTCATAATTGAATCGGTGAGAAGAGAAAGCGGATATGTCCATAAATAGGCATTTTTGGCATTTTGACAGAAATCGATTTTAAGCACGAAGACGTGCCGTTTTGTATAGAAACCGGGCATACCCTCATACTAATAATGCTTTTATATGTATTAGGAATTATGGTATCGTGGAAAAACCAGATAAGTCCTGGATATGTCCACTTTTTCTACAAAAACTACAACGTATGACTATTCCTAATCCTATCCAAGATACATTTGACATAATTTAACTTACAGTCAGTGTGTTTAACATACACGATCTTAAAACCGGTAAAAGCTACTTCTACATAATGACGAAGGATTAGGCAAAAAGAGCTCTAACGAGGTGTGTTCGTTCATAATGGATTATATTAAAACATATGTATCTGAGGAAGTGAAATCTTTTCACATTTTCTTTGATGGAGCTTGAGGTCAAAACAAAAACTACACAGTTTTAAGGTTCGTCAGATCCTTAACAGACCTCAGAATATTTGAAACGGTGAACCAGTACTACCCAGCACTTGTTGATGCCTTGTGACCGTACTTTTTCTTTAACAAAGAGAATAATTAAAAAAGGCTGTAAGGATTTACTATTAAAAGAGTAAGTATGTAGAACTCATTATAACTGCTACTACTAAAAGAAGTTTCACTGTCCACCTGGTATCTGATCGAGAATGATAATAGAATTATCAAAGAATATAAGTCCTGGTGGACTAGATATTACAAAAGAAATATTTTATCACACGGATCACTAGGTAGGCATATTCCCAAAGAATAAAGAGTTTTTTTTTTCTATTAACAAGTCCACGCACTTTTCTTGTAACTCTCAGGCAAGAGGTCAAATTGTTGCTCATGAATTTATTGATGGAATTGTTCACCATACATTTTATGTTTCTACACACACCAAAGAAGAGTCACTACCTGTTAACTTGGCCTATCCTCAAGTCAGAGTTCTGATTAAGAAAAAGAAATTAGAACATCTATTGAAATTTACACCCTACTTGGATGAGAACATTCCTAGATTCAAGATATTTTATGATTCCTTAATATACATGGCCAACTGCAGAAGGTGAATATGTATCTTATGTGAATAACTTTGATTTATCGTTTTTTATCCTGGTATTTTGTGTTGTATTGTATATATCATAATAAATAATCCTAAAATAATAATGTTGTCTAAAACCGGATTTGTCCAATAAATAAATATTTATTTTCTGTCTTTTGATAGTTGCCTTCAATAAATTTTGTATCAATATTTATCACTGATGGATTGCTCTGTACAGTGGTAATTAAAATTGTGTTAAATACTGGATAGTTTTCAATAGAGGAAGTTTTTTCTTATTTACCGCTAACTTGATTTTTGTGACATATCCGCTTTCTCTTCCCACTGATTCAATTAAACTAAAAAGTTTTTGATAGTGGTTTCTATCAAATCAATATTCAATAGTAGGGAAAAGTAGGGCAAGATGACGACAGTAAGCTTAAAAATTACTCTTCTTCTTCTTACGGCGCCTTATCCTTAAGGACGTTGGCCATTACATTTGCCCATTTAATCTTATTTGTAGCAGCCCTGAATAGTTCCATGGAGGTCATGTTCGTCCATTGCCGTAGGTTTTTAAGCCAAGAGTTGCGTCTTCTTCCTGGTCCTCTTTTGCTATTAACTTTGCCTGCGATTATAAGTTGGAGCAGTTCATACTTTTGATTTCTTATGATGTGACCAAAATATTGTGTTTTCCGTTCTTTTATTATAAGCATAAGCCCTCTTTCCTTATTCATCCTCCGCTAGACTTCCGCATTTGTCGTATGGCTCATGTAGGATATTCTGAGCATGTTACGGTAACACCAGAGTTCAAATGCTTGGATTCTTTTTTGTGTTGCTTCTGTCATTGTCCAGGCTTCAACACCATAGAGCAACATAGCACTTAAGTATTCTAGTTCTCAATGAGATGCCCAGCTGGCGGTTGCATAGAACTTTTTGCATTTTGTAAAACATTGTACGTGCCTTTTCTAGGCGTATTCTTATCTCTAGTGAGTGGTCCCAAGTTTCATCAAGATTACTTCCAAGGTACGTTGTTCTTGTTACTCTTTCCAAATCTGTTCCGTCGACATTGACCTTCACCCTTCTGTTTTGGTGCATGCTGATGAACATCGTTTTTGTCTTCTTTGTATTCAATTTCATTCCAAATTCTCTACAGGCTGTAGTTACTCGGTCCATTAAGCTTTGTAGGGCTTCAGCATTATCTGCCAGTATAACAGTGTCATCAGCATATCGCAGGTTATTTATACATTGCCCGTTTATAATTATACCATCCGTGGTGCCTTCCAAAACTTGCTGAAATATCTTCTATTCTTTCTAAAAATTACTAGATCTGATATTTTGCCTTGTACAGAATGCTTCCAACTACAAGGTAATTGGCTGATAGTAGTACTTTACATATTAAGGGTTAATATTTCAAATAAAAATGTATCTATCTACGTCATATTCGTCATCTTATCCTTCGTGGAGAGTAAAGTGACGAGGTATGCAAATTCTAAGGAAGAAAGGCATTTATACCAGAAAGTAAACAAATTTAAGTAAAATGCATTTATTCTGCAACCAATGCAACACTTGTAATGGGTCCTAGATTTTACAAGCACCAATCACAAGTCCATTGTTTTAGCTTTGCTTCTTGACTATTCATTCCAGTACATTTAGCATGAGCCCATTCACTACACCTACTGCATCAATATCATAACTTATCTTTTTCTCTTTCTCTTCCTTCCTCTGAATCGTTATCAGTGTTAGCATATTCCAGATCTACTGACGAGTTAAAAGAGTCGTCACATTTTCGTATTTTTCTCTTAGTCGTTTTTCCTTTACCTTCATCCAGAGTGAATTTTCTTTTTTTTGCTGAAAATTAAAGTTTTTGCTTCTATTTTGTTTTTTTAATTTTCTTCTACTTTTTATATTCCTTTTCCCCTCTTTTGCTAATGTTGTAGCTTTCTTTTTCTTACATCTTTATTACGAGTGTACTAGAAATAACGAGAGATGATAATTTCTTTCTGGGTCGTCATATAACATCAGCAACAGATAATTTAGACCTTTATTCAATATATGATTTGCAACATGAGGGGGTGTCCGACCAGCTATTCCTGTAGATGGACCTGGCGTAGTTGGAACAGGAATATCTAAAATTTCGTTAGATATTTGAATAGATCCTTGAGGTCCTGTTTCTTTTAAAAAATATATCGGTGACATTTCTTGAATATCTGGTATTTTCTCTTCGTCCTCTACATTTTCCAAAGCAGATGCAGTTGGAACTTTCGTTGAAATTGGTCTGTCTTTGTTTGTTGTTAAAGATGTCTCAAAATCAAGTATATCACACACCTGGCTATCAACAGAATATATGATAGTGGCTCTAAAACCACAAGAGCGTTTGAAACAGCTGCTGCTTTTAAGTACGCTTTCCCAAATAGGGTTGCAATATCATACAATGTTTTAAGGCGACCTGGATTACTGATCAAAAAATCTTCGCATGTTCGTAAGTAAGCTGTTTTCAGAGGTCCATATATTGACACATTTAATAGTTACATACAGTGACTGGTATGCGGTGGGAAACCTAGTACAGTAATGTGATTTTTCCGTCATAGCGTAATGACTTCCAAAGAAATTTGACTGGTGTGATAATCCCTTAACACTAACACAGGGTTATTTTCGCTTCAACGAGTGTGTTAAATGAAATGTTCCAAATCTTTAACAAAATTTTCCAATAACAAAAGTCATCCATCCAGAAGGATAAGCTACTGCAATGGTCCCTTCGGTAGCTCTATTTTTAAGAGCTGATTTCATTTTTACTATTGGAAATATTACCAATGGTGGTATAAAATTTCCTATAGCATTCATGCCTCAAACAGTAGTCACGTTAATCCTCCTTTCTGCCGAGGAAATCTTTATCATTGGACGGTTGCCTCTTGGGGTTAATATTTTAGGATCCTCCCTATAGATTATGTATTTTTTTTTTGAAAAATTATTTTTGATTGAATATTTTCACGTCCAACTTAATAAAATTTCACCTTATTGTTATTGTTAAAGAATAACGAATAACTCACAAAATAACGCAGTTAGGTATAGGAAATACTTAAGAAATAATAGAGTACCATAAAATAACATTCCATCATAATTCTAAAATACGGGGTTTTCCATTTGAAAAACCTTTTTTCCAGTTTAGATTTTTTTGACCATAAAGAAAATTAGGTACTAAGAAAATATACGTGAATTATACTAATTAGAATATATCATATAGTACAATACAAACTGAAAAAGAAACAAGAAAATTACTTGAATAGGTACATTAATTCTTTAATTTAGTTAATTAGACTGTCCGAGAATAAATTGTGAACAATTCCGTGTGATCACTGCTTTTGATAAATAAGCACTTAATATTTCATTACAAAAATGATTACAAAATAATTAATCAGTAACAAAACACTTACGTTTAAGAAACTGGTGAGTCTCAGGGTTGTAAGTACACCTTGCAGGTTGTAAAAAACCTCCTCGTGGAACATTTTTACTTGGCCAATCCATGTTATCAAAAAGTTAAAAAATCGGTGTTGAATAATAATTTTGAAATCTTTGTATAATTTAAAATATAATTTGACTGTTTAGGGATGGTTGCCACAGATACTTTGAAACTCACAATGAAATGTTACCATAGTGACCACTGTTTTAATAACTGAAATCTGGATACAGTCTACAATAGACTAATGGGGAGAAATATACGAGGGAAAGTTGATATTGCCACAAGTTACGGATGTCTGCCAGGAAGAAATAAATATATAAATATTCGTATACTTCTTAGAGGTCAGTAGATATTTAATGTTACAGTTTTAATGTTACAATGTTAAAAATCTTTACTTGCGTCAATGTGCAAACATCAGAATTGACCAGGATATTCCTGAAGCTTCTGTTTTCCATGAAATCCAAGATACTGCATCATTTTTTATCAATGCTCATTGCATTTTTTCATCAAGCTACAATTTGAAGTTTCATTAAAAAAAAACGGAGCTCGTACAGGTGGTATTTTACGAGTACCATCACTTTAATGTGGTAAACTTTTTTACTCCTTCTCGGTATATGCCATCTATAAAATTGATCATAAAATCTAAATCTTCGTTTATAATGTGCTCAGTTTTCTCTGCCACAATTAAAGATTAATCGTGAGAAAAATAAAGAACGACTATGTAAGGTAGGCTGCACCATAATCGCTAGAATACGTTGAGAAGGATAATGATGGTGAGGAAAATCTAGATGTGCGGTAAAAAATTGTAAAAGAACATACTGGAAGAGAGCCTTCAATGATTGAGGCAGAAAAGATAATAATAAATGTTGGGGAATCTACCTTGGTACGAATGACAATGAAAATTGAGACGATTCTTTAGAAATAAAATTTAGGATAGAGAAAACAAGATCTGCATTTCAAAAGTGACTAAGCTATTCGAATGCCACGATTTGTCAGTATCCATAAAAATGGGTATCTTTCCTATACTGTTGTACGGACGTGAGTAGTGGACTCTCACAGACGCTACCTGCAAGAAAATTGAAGCTTTCGAAATGTGATTTTATCGTAGAATCCTGAAAATGTCCTATACCGACCACGTTACTAACCAGGACGTTTTATTAAAAATGCAAAAAGGAAAAGAGTTATTAACCACAATAAATACAGCCAAAATTTAATACCTCGGTCACATCATGAGGGACAGCAAAAGATATGGGTTGCTGCAATTAATTATTTAAAGAAAAGTAGAAGGAAAACGAGGACCAGCGAGGCGAAGAATTTCCTGACTGAAAAATCTACGACCATGGTTCAACACAACAACAAACAAATATTTTCAGAGCTGCAGTTTGCAAATCTGCAAAACAAAGAAACTGAAGAACTTATTTAAATTAATGACCATTATAGTTATTTTGTATATTTTGGGATATAGTGGGATAGTGAAGCGCAACATATAGCCACTCCTATTCAAATATCGAGTAATTTATAACCGCATTCACAATAAGTGTGAAGAATACCTGAGTCGTTCTCAATATGGTTTTAGGAAAGGTACAGGCACCAGAGAAGCAATAATGGGATTGACACTAATGGCAGAAAGGTATCTCGAGGTTCAAAAACAGCTGTATGTGTGCTTTGTCGATTGAAGAAAGGCCTTCGACCGCATTAGACACGAAAAATTGATTGAGGTGCTAAAAGAAGTAGGGCTGGACGGACACGACCTAACTATAATAAGCAATACATATTAGAACCACACAGGATGTGTTCGAACAGACAACGGAAATACCAATTATGTAAACATAGAACGAGGAGTGCGTCAAGGGTGCATTCTGTCCCCTCTTCTATTTAATGTCTATGCCGAAAATATCATCAGAGCTTCTCTTGATCGCCCTGAAGGTGCCAGAGTCAATGGAATCATCATTAACAATGTAAGATATGCCGATGACACCGTAGTATTAGCAGAAACAGAAGACCAAGTAAAAATATTGATGAACATACTATCAGAAGAAAGTCACAGACTAGGTTTGGATATTAATCTTTCCAAAACCAAAATCATGGTATTCCACAAGAACCCCCATGAAAAAATTACACCCAACATACAAATCAATGGTATCACCCTTCAGAGCTCCCAAAGCTTCATATACCTGGGCAGAGAGCTAAACAGTCAGCAAGACCACTCAAAAGAAATTAGAAGACGTATTGAAATAGCAAGATCCGGCTTCATGAACATGCGTAAAATGCTCTGTAACCCCAAGCTACAAACACAATAAGGTTAAGAACACTAAAGTGTTATGTGTGGTCTCTACTACTATATGGCTGTGAGACCTGGACATTAAAACAGTATGACGTCAACAAACTGAATTCATTCGAAATGTGGATGTACCGTCGAATGCTAAGAATAAGCTGGACCAGCAAAACTACAAATGAAGAGGTACTGGAAATAATGAACACACGACCTCATCTGGTTAATACAATCTAAATGAGAAAGATGTCATATCTAGGACACATAATGCGCCATAAGGAATTTGAGCATCTCCAAGTAATATTAGAAGGCAAAATCGAGGGTAAAAGGGGTATAGGAAGAAAGAAGAAATCCTGGCACCAAAACATCAGAGATTGGACTCACACAACAGGAAATGACTGAATCCATCAAGCCCAGAACAGAGAGAAATTTGCCATATTGATCGCCAACCTCAATAGAGGAGGCACTTAGGAGGAGGAGGATTCAAATATCAACCTCACCTGCTCGTATGATATAGATAATTGTCTTCTGGTACATCTTGCTAGTTAACTAACGAGGCTCTGACGTCCGAGTGTTTGCCGGGATAAGCAATTCACAATTTACTGGCCAACGGCTTAAGGCAGATGAGCTAGTAAGTGGTAGGGCACTCTGTTGTACTAAGACTGAGAAATTGGTCTCGAAGGTGGAAGAACCAAGAAAGTGGTCAACGGCATCAGAATGCAGAAGGCAACGGGAAACCACTGTATTAAAGGTCCCTGATGACATCTCTAGTATAAATTATAATGGCTAGCACTATTTGCGCAAGAGACATTATTGATTATGGTAGTCGGAGATCAAAATCCGGCAGGGAAGGACAACCATCAGAACGCAAGGCCTCCTCGGTCGTCAACATGCGAAAGCCTTGCACAAAAAACCAAAAAAAAAAATATTCAACCCTCTCAGATAGAAATAGCTACCTCGAATATAAGAAGTATGTATCAGCCTGGAAAACTACATAATGTTATTAAAGAGAAAGAGAGGGGGTTAGTATATAAATAAGTATAAAAATACTATTATATATATAATATAAAAGTACTATTTGCCATCAACATATTGATTCAGCGATGTCGGAATGTAAACGTTGATCTACACTTGTGCTTTGTTGACTACGAAAAAGCTTTCGATAAAGTAAGACATGAAAATCTAATATCAATACTTATGAATAAGCACATTGACAGTTAAATTATAAATATAGTGCAAACATTATATTGGAACCAAAGTGTCATAGTTCAAATTGATGGGCAAGACTCAGAAGAAATGAAGATCTGTAGAGGAGTTAGATAGGGATGTGTTTTATCGCCACTTTTGTTTAACTTATATTCTGAAGAAATTTTCCAAAACACGCTCAATAATATTAAAGCGGCAGTTACCGTTAACGAAAAATTAATTAACAACTTACGATATGTAGACAACACTGTGATCATAGCAACGACGATAGAAGATCTACAACATCTTATCTAAAGCTTAAGTATGAATAGTGCTGAGATGGGAATTATTACAAACGCTAAAAAAACGAAGTACATGCTAATTACAAAAAGACCACAAAATATAAATCACCTATTGACAATCAATGGTAACGTGTTAGAACAAGTAGAAAAATATCAGTACTTGGAAACTTTGATCAATGAAATCAATGATCATACTGCAGAAATAAACAGGCGAATAGAAATTGTCAGATCAGCATTTATACGAATGAAGCGACTCCTAACATGCAAAAATCTAAATTTGGAGATCAGACTACGTACCATTCGCTGTTATATATTTTCAATATTATTATATGGAGCTGAGACTTGAACATTAAAAAAATGCAATTTAAAAAGAATCGAGGCTTTTGAACTCTGGTTATACCGCTGAGTATTAAAAATACCATGGACTGATAGAATTGCAAATAAAGAAGTACTGGAGAGGGTTCGTAAAGAAACACAGAACTAATCACCACTATACAAACCAGAAAACTAGACTTCTAGGCCACGTGATAAGGGGACCAAAATATGAAATTTTGAGACTCATAGTATAGGAAAAGATTTAAGAAAGATCTGTTGGCCGAAGGCAGAACTCATGGGTGAAGAATCTACGTGATTGGTATTAATGCAGATCGATTGATTTGTTTAGAGCAGCAAGTTCAAAAATAAAAATAGCCATTATGATTGCCAACCTCGTAGGGAGACGGCACTCTAAGAAGAAGATAGGTATTTTATTATGGCGAGGATAAATATATACATGATATGCAACTTCGACCGCAGTATGGGCCATATGGACTATGGACTTTCAATTAGTCAATATGTTCAGTTTAACTTTCAATATTGTTTGCGACCTTACATTAAAGAAACCGTTGCGACATTAGTAAGTAGCCATAAAAAATCAAAAACATTTACCTCTCTTGCCATCCTAAAGTTCGTCAGTATGTTTAAGATACCTACACTACATCAAAAGTGTGATTTTGATACCGCCGAGAAGGTTTGAATTGGATTTAACTCAGTTGGAGCGAAAGATTTCAAAGATGGACGATAAATTCGGGAAAACAAATCATTTTGTCATTTGATCTCTAAGCTATAAAACGTTTAATATAAATCATTTACACGTGTGTTTTACCAAAGTAAAAGTTGGAGTACGTTCTTCAAAGTTTATTTGTTTATGATTCGAGTTTATGCATAAGGTAATTGACTCCCAAACCTAAATAAAAATAAAATTGAATGTTTGTTTTTCACTACAGTATGTCTGAAACACGGGAAGTAAAATTTACATTGTCTTAATTATTTATATGGTTGCAAGATCGGCAGAGATCTTTAGTTGAGGGTGAGGCAGTTTTTGGAGCTGGCCACATTATAT